TCCTCATCAACTTTTGCTTGTCCATCATCTCCTCCAATGCCCTCATCCTCATCGGGCAGACCCAGACTCGCAATAAGGTACGTGATCTTTGCCCTCCCCTGCACATCCCAGTGCGCCCCGGTGGAATGGGGTGATGGTGAGGACCCCAACAGGATTCCAAGGAAGCTTAGGGAGGAGAGTGCTGCAGCCACACGGAGGCCTTCGTGCTGACTGCGGCTGTCCCCTGGTCAGGGCATGGGGACGGGGTGTCTGGAGGGTCCAGCTGGACTGGCACTTTGAGATGGGCCGGTTCGAGCCCCCTGTCCCTGGCCCCCCGTGGGGCCTGGACTGCCATCTTGTCTGTATGTTGTCATGTGGCCTTAGGGGTGACTCGCCCTCCCTGGGGATCGAGTTCACCACCTCCCGGGCAGATGGGCTCACACCAGAGCCTTTGAGCGGGCTCCTGCTGGCATGTGCTGTGTGTCTCCAGGTGGGTGAGGACGATGGGGCCGGGGGGGGTCTCTCTCCCTGGCCGTCCGTGGACCAGGTGGCACACCCCCCCCAGGGGTCGGGGACCCCGGATGTACAACAGGCCACCTCGAGGCAGGGGACCAGGTGACCCTTCAGTGGCTTCCTGCTGGGGGGTCTGAGCTCGTCACCACTGCGGACACTGGGCTTGGGCCTCTCCCAGCCTCACGGAGCCCCTCCCGTGGAGCAGGCCTAGGGACAGGTGACCAGGCACCTGCCCCGCCTAACCCGCCTGCCTGCCCCGCCCAGGTGGTGTGCACGCTCGTGGCTGCCTTCCTGCACTTCTCCTTCCTGTCGTCCTTCTGCTGGGTGCTCACTGAGGCCTGGCAGTCCTACATGGCCGTGACGGGCCGCCTCAGGAGCCGCCTCATCCGCAAACGCTTCCTCTGCCTGGGCTGGGGTGAGCGGTGCCGGGCAGGGGGTGGTGGGGCCCCCGCCTCTGACCTCTGTCCCCGCCCCTTGCGGCCCCATCCCCCACCCCGGCCCCTGACTTCTGTCCCCGCCCCTTGCGACCCCCGTCACCCCCACCCCCGGCCCCTGCCGCTGTCCCTACCCTTTGTGGCCCCGTCACCCCACCCCGTGCCTTGCCCTCATCCTCCTGGGACCTCCACGGGGTTGTCAGGTAAAATGTGATGCTAAGTTCTATTTGAATTTCAGATAATGGGTTATTTTTTTAAGGATACCCCGTTCGGACACACTTACAATAAAAAAGGTTTCTTTTTTATCTGAAATTCAAGTGTGATCCGGCGTCCTGCGTTGCGTTTGCTAACCTGGCCGCCATGCCCGCAGGGCGTAGGCCCTCCTGTTCCCTCTCTCTCATGCTCAGCGGGACCCCGTTCCGGGGCTTCAGAGGCACAGTGTGCCTCGACCTCGCCCCATCCGCAGGGCTGGAAGGAGGCAGAGGGCGGACAGGGGCTTGGATGGTGGGGGAACCAACACCCTTTCTTTCTGGTCCTTCCGCAGGGCTTCCTGCGCTGGTCGTGGCCATTTCTGTGGGATTCACCAAGGCCAAAGGGTACAGCACCATGAACTAGTGAGTCGGGGCAGGGTGGGGATGGGGTGGAGGCCGCTCGGCTCCCCCAGACCCTCCCACTGCCTAGAAGGTGACAGCTGGCTGGTGCCCATCTCACAGAGGAGAGCCAAGGCTGGGAGAGGCTGGGGGCCCCGGGACTGGAGGCTGGGGGCTCAGGGCCATCCGAGCTTCCCACCTCCTCCTTAGGTATCCTTGGACGGGTCTGTTAGCCTCAGTTTCCCCTCTGCACCAGTGTGTCCACCCCTGCACAACTATGGTGACAAGGGGGCTGTGGCCCCGAGGAGGGCAAGGCGCCTATTTCACAGATGAAGTCAGCGAGGCCCTGAAGGGTCAGCTGGGCCAGGCAGGTCCAGGGGCCTTGAATACCAAGCCAGGAAGCTCGGGGTTACCCTAAAAGCAGTGTGGCTGCTTTTAGGGTAAGGGGAGAGGAACCACGGGCTGGAGGGGGGCTGTGGCTACAGGCGTGGAGAAGAATGGGGGAGGCAGAGGCAGGAGGAGGGGTGGATGCAGGTTGCACAAGCTTGGCTCACCTTGGAGCCCCAGGGGGACAGGCCATTGCTGGGCCCTGGAGCAATGCCCCACTTGGGCAGCAGGGGCAGCAGACATGAATGAGGATCCAGTTACTGGAACCCCCGTAGGGTGAGTGCCAGGAGGTAACTATGGACACGGCTGCAGAGCTGAGAGGGTCAGGGGTGGGTCAGGGGAACACCAGGGGTTTTGAAGGCTGAAGAGGAGTTCGTCTGAGAGCGTTGTGGGGGGACGCTCAGGGCAGAGGAAACGGCACGTGAAGACTGCAGTGTCTTTGCTGGGCCCAGGGCTCCTGCAGGCCACCATCCGTGGGGTCCAGGAGATTTGGGGAAGTGTGGGGCCGGTGACCACGTGTGGCGCGAGGAGGGGCCCGGCCAGACGTGTGAGCAGAGGCCTGGGTGACCCGGCCGTGGGGCCTGGGTTGAGTGGGCAGGTGGAGGGCCAGACCAGGGACCCAACACAGAGTTTTGGCATCGTGTCCTGAGGAAGAGTCTGTGCATGAGATTGGGGAGGGTGTAGGAGGAGAGCTGGGGGGCCAGCCTGGGGCGGTCAGAACACCCTCCTTTCTGCCGTGTGGGTGCGAGCAGCCTGCCCCGTGCCTGTTTCTCCCTCCATAAACTGGGGTTCGTGGGGCCACGGGGGCCAGAGTGAGTGCGGTGTGCTGTGTGCAGGAGGGCCTGCCGGGTGCTGAGCTCCTTCTGCCCCACGTCTCACCTGCCTTCCCAGGGGGGTGGGGGCATCACGCCTGGCCACTGACCAGCCTGTCTCCCTCCCCAGCTGCTGGCTCTCCCTGGAGGGGGGACTGTTGTACGCCTTCGTGGGACCGGCCGCCGCTGTTGTGCTGGTACTGACCCCTTCCCCATTGGCCCGGGCTGGGGCCTTGGACTGGACCCATTGCCCCTTCAGGGTCACCGTGGTCACCGAGGGGTGGATGGCGTTCCTGGCCCCCCCCCGACCTGCCCTCAGGGTACAAGGGTGCGGAGACTGGGCTGCAGTGGGGGCCTTCTCTTTCCGTGAGCACCACTCGCGTGGGGACTGGGCACTGGCTGTGCACCTGCCAGGAGATCCATGTGGGTTTGCAGGGTGAGTGGCCGGCTGAGGGGAGCCGAGTGGACAGATGACTGACCAGGGCAGCAGGGAGTGCCAGCTCGGCCTGGGGGATGGGCAGAGCCTGAGGCTGGGGGGCCGAGGCCGGACCTTGCTGCCGCTGGCTTTCACGCTCTGGAGAAGGAAGCAGCTACCTGCTCTCCCTCGCCACGAATTCCCAGACGCCTACGGGGAGGGATGCGAAACAGGGCCTTGGGGCTCACGGGGTTCCTGCCCCCGAGTTCGGGCTGGGCAGAGGGAGCCGGGCACATCTGGGGGCCTGCGCCTGCCCTGCCTGAGCCCATTGCTCTCCAGCCCTCTGGCCCTCACGCAGGGCCACGCACCGCTCCGTGGCTCTGTGGCGGGGGCGCCCGGGCGCAGGCACAGGCATGGGGAGGCCGGAGGGCCCCGCGTGGGAGGATGGAGCGGTGGGCAGCAGGCCTAGCCCGAGGGTCCTGGCTCCTTTATTCTTTGAAGGGAGAGGCTTTCGTGCCGTGCATGTCAATGCGGCCCTTCAGAGACCAGGCCAGCTCGCCATTTTAAAGACAGGAGACGCGGGAGTGCGGGAGGCTCAGATGATGGAAGCAGGAACCCCCAGCCCCCACGTCCCTTCCCGGGGCGTCTGCAGGGCAGGGCCAGTGCCGATCTGCTGTGGCCCCCAGCCCAGGGCCCCCTCGGTAACATGGGGACACGCCGGTCAAGCCGCACAGAGCCTGCTTCGGGCAGGGCGTTGATGGCTGGTGGCCTGTCCCCCTCTGGCCCTGGCCTTGTCAGAATATGAGGTCACCCAGGAAAGACGCCTCCACCCCAGTCAGGCACTCCGGTGCTGGTGCCAGCATCTGGGAAGTTTCCGTTCGCACAGGGATGAAAGGCAGGGCCTGACCACGGTGGTGTGCGGAGTCAGGGGCGCTCAGAGCCGTGGGGTCACGGAGAGTCAGCCTCCTTGTACCTCTGCATCCGAGGGGCCTGGGGCCAGGCCTCGTTCCTCAGTCAGGCAGCCTCTGCAGAGTGGGAGCCCAGGGGACGGCTTTCAGGGGGCAAAGGAATGAGCTGGGAGCCTCCCCACCAGGAGAGAAGGCCAAAGAGGGGAAACCCCAAGGTCTCCAGGGCCGAGGCAGGGCCGACAGGGGCCCCTTGGGGACAGCTGCTGTTTGCTGTAGGCAGCGTGCGGGACGCGAACACCAAGGAGCACTTGCTAGGGTGCCGGCGCCCAGCGGGAAGGGGTCAGGAAAGGTGCCTTGGCAGAGAGCACAGGAGCAGTGTGCCCCCAGGTAGAGCCCGGACGGGGACGATGCCCCCAAGATGGCCCTCAAGGTGGGCCCCAGTGAGGGGTGAGCTCCCTGTCGTGGGAGGGTTGTAGGGAGCAGGGGTGTTGAGAGGCTGGGGGCTGGACACAGGGCACACCTAAGCGTGGAGGCAGCTGGGTCATCTGAGGTCCCTTCTGGGGTCGGAGCAGGCAGGCACCCTGGGAGTGCGCTGGAGCCAGCCTGACCTCTGACCCCTGGACAGCAGGAACCCCAGCTCCACAAACTGCTGCTGAACACCATGGGGATGGCAGATAGGCCTCTGGGCCATTCAGGGCAGACCACCCCGGGGATCCAGCCGGTCGGGAGGGCCCCCCACATCACGTCTGCACCCCCGCTGGGTCATGCTGGCCCCTTCTCACGTCCACCCCCGCCGGGCAGGGCTTCCAGATCCTCGTGGAGCGGGTCACGCAGGAGGGTCACATGGGGGGCGTGAGCTGGAGCTCCTCGCCCTGAGTGGGGTCTTGTGGCAGAAGAACCCCACCCAACAGCCAGGGCTCTGGGGGGAGCTGGCCAGGCCCAGGAGAAGGAGCTGGAGGCCTGGCGAGCCTATGCCGGTGGCCCCACCTCCTGGCCTCGGGAGTCGTGTCCCCAGAGCCAGTGCTGTGGGTGGGAGCACACGCCGAGCCCTGGTGTGGAGCCCGGAGCCCGGAGGGCAGTACCGCACCCCCACACTCGGCTCCTCTCTGCCTGGCAGGTGAACATGGTCATCGGGATCCTGGTGTTCAACAAGCTTGTGTCCAAGGATGGCATCACAGACAAGAAGCTGAAGGAGCGGGCAGGGTAGGGCGGGGCCCGCCAGGGCTCCTCACCTGCCTTGAGTCGAAAAGACCCAGAGCCCACTCACTCCCTGCCAGGCCCCAGAGCAGGCAGGGAAACCAGAGCACAGAGGTCTGTGTAGGCTGACAACCAGCCCCGGCCTTGCCCTGTGCCTCAGTTTCTCCGTCTGGCCTGTGGCAGGTCCTCAGAAACTGTGAAGCCAGTTGTTTTCAGAGACCCTGCCCCTGCAGGGACCACTGGGGTGGTGGGCGGGAGCCCCTGGCCTCCCCCTTCCCCACCGTGGGGTCGGGTGACCCCAAGCGAGGATGTAACTTGCCCGTCCTTATGGTGCCTTCAGTGAGAGGAGGAGAGGCCAGGGCTCAAATAGGGTGTTCCTCCCACGTGGGGAGGCTGAGCCCAGAGAGGGCAGGGCGTGGCCAGAGGGCACGTGGTCCCGAGCGACTGGGCGGTGCCCAGCAGGGAAGGCCAAGTGTGCTTGGGACAGGCCTGCTCCTGCAGCCCCCCAGGGCATGGGAACACCGAGATCACGGAGGGGCCGAGTCCAGGCTGAGACAGGCCCCTCTCTCCGTCCTGCCCCAGCCCTCTGAGCCCTCCTCACCTCCCCTCTGCCTGCTGCTCTGTTCGTCCCTCTGCCTTGGCTGGTGTGTGGGGGGGGTCCCGCCCTGCCTCCTCTGTGCCCTCCTCGGTGTCTGTCTCTGTCTCTGTCTCCCTCCTCTTCCTGCGCCTCCTGCTTACCCTGTAGCTTCAGGACACCATCCCCCGGAGGTCCCTGATGGCTTCTGGTCAGGGTCAGAAGCCTGCTGCACGGCTTTGGAGGAGGTGTGTGATCCGGAGGCTGGCCTCGCCGTCTGTAGGCCTGGGTGCCCCACTCGCTGGGCACCTTCCCCTGGCAGTGGGGACTGACGTGCCCACATGCGTTCCTGGAAGGCCCCGGGCCGCGCGCCAGGCCGTTTGGTTTGCTTCCTACAATAACCCCCGAGGCCGGCTCTCCTGTTCCGTTCCCGTCTGTATAGCCCAGTGGACTGAGGTTCAGGCAGGGTGAGCGGCTGGTGGTGGGGAAGGCTCTGGAGTCCAGCGTGTCCATGTGCCTGGCCGCCTCCTAGGGCCCCGTCCTGGGCGTGCCGCAGGTGCCCCGGCTCAGAATGCTCCTGGGGGCGCCCACGGGGCCGTGCACAGAGACCCGCTCCCACACGGACGGGAGGCACCGTGCACACTGCTGTGTGCTTGCCAGCGTGCACACACACACACAGGGCCCGTGGGAGGACGCTGCCCAGCTAGCTCCCCGAACCCCAGTGCACTGGTGGATGGAGCCCTTGCCCCCTGGCTGGGGCGGTGCATAGTCAGGGCAGCTTCAGGGGGGCGAGAGGGAGGTGGCTGTGGCCTGCCCCTGGGAGTTCTGCTTCTCTGTGCAAACATGGACAGATCGGCTTCCCCTCTGCTCCGCGCGGGCGTGCACGGGTGCCGGACCCGGACCGCCCCCACTTCCCGTGGCTCCCCTGCTTCCCCCGGGGAGCCCCCCGCCCCCCAGGGCCTGCCCAGGGAGGCGCAGGCCGGATTGCTGCGGTCGGTACGCACTCTGCCCCCGTCTGCGAGAACAGTGCTCTTGTCGCAGGCTTTGAATTTCACTTCCAGTCAGCTGCCCTGGGCCCCCCTTGGGCGCGCCCTCAAATGTGCCGAGTGTGGAGCCCTCTCCGCGGCCGCCGCCGCCGGTGATGCCGCGTTAGTGCCTCTGCGCGCTGGCGCACCTGCCGGGCTCCGCTCTCCTCTCGGTTACACTCTGTTCCAAGCTTTTTCTGTCCTCTCTGTTGCCTCTGCTGACTTCTCTGGGGGTCCTCCGCTAGCCAGCCCTTCGCCAGGCTCCTCTCCCCCGTCTGCTGGGGCCTTGGGACAAGGTGGACCGGAGGATCAGTGCTGCCGGGATGGGATGGGGCCGGGTCAGCGCAAGAACGCGCTCGGTGGGCCGGTCATTGGCGTGTGGTCGTGCTGGGGGCTGGGGTGCACTCTGTGTGTGCATGCGTGAATGTGTGAGAACGGGGTGTGCGTGAGCGTGAGAGTGTGTGCGTGAGCGTGTGTGCATGTGGGGTGAGTGTGTGCGTGTGTGAGCGCATGTGGGTGTGTGGGCCCTGCTGCAGCGGGGCGGCCACGGGTTCGGGGCAGGACGGGTCCGTTGAGGCAGAAAGCTGTGTTGGGAGGGCCGAGGGGGACCAGGCTCTGGGAGTACGCGCTGTTTGTTTCACGCCCCAGCTCTGCCCTGGGGTAGGCCTGTCACGAGAGCCTTGGGGGCCATTCCCTGAGAGGCCGAGTGGCAGGTTGGAGGCAGCGGCCCTGCTCCCCCATCTCCGCTCCTGCCCCTCCCCTGGAAGGCATCAGACTTTCCAAAGGGCGGGACGGGGGGGGGGGTTGTCCCAGTGCCCCCAGGCCCGCACCTGCTCCTCCCCCTGCCCTCTGCCCTCACAGAACCCTGCAGAGGCTGGGCTACAGGAATTCGAGTAGTTCACCCGTCCCCAGGCCCCAGCCACCTGCTCCCCACTTCAGGCCTAGATAACAGGCCCCAGGCCCCAGGGAAGGTGACTCACAGCAGGATGACACTTCCCTGGGAGAGGCTCTGCCCTGCCATCCTGTTCCCAGCGTGTCCAGAGAAGGTCTGCTTCAGACGGGAGGAGGGAGACGAGGCAGCCCCCCCCCACCGCCATGGGGAGACGCAGGGGCTCGGGGTCAGGGAGGGCAGTGCGTGTAGTCACGGAGGGCCCGCTTCTTCAGGCTCTCCAGCAGGCGCGGAGAGAGGCAAGGCTGGGTGCCGGGACCCCGGGGGTCTCCACCCTGGAAGGGGAGGTGAGGCGGGTCTGTGAAGTCTAGTTTGGAAGCTCGTGCAGTGGCCAGGGGAGGAGAGGCGTGGGGGCTTCAAGGCAGCTCCTGGCTCTGGCTCGAGCCACCGGGCGGCTGGGCAGGGAGCCGTCCTGGAGAAGAAGTGGGGCTGGGGCCGGGATGGGGACCTGGGTCCTGGAGCAGGGAGGGAGGGGGAGGGGGGGGGAGCCGGGCCTGTCTTCTCCGCGTGAAACTGCGGAGCCCAGGCAGGACAGAGGGGACACGGGGGGCCGCGAGCACAGTCCTGGGGAGAGCTCCTGCCCCCACCCCTGACCCAGGTCCTGCTGCTTTGGGGGTGCTTCTTCAGGCCGGGCTTGAGGTCCTTCCAGCCTCTCTCCCACCGGCCCCGTGCCCCCGGCCCCTTCCTGGTGTTCCTCGTGCCCCTCTCCCTGCCCACTCCCCACTCCCCCTGCCCCACCTCCTCATCCTTTTGACAAGGCCATTCTGTAAGGAGGGGAGCAGGTGGTCCTGACCTCGGCCCCCACGCCGGGGATGCCAGGGGCCCCAGCGGCTCCTTGGAGCCCCTGCACGGCAGTCACCTGCCCATGGGGGCTTCTGGAGGTCGTCATGGTGGTGAGGGTGGGGTCGGGCCCATTTCCCAGACACCTGCTGCATGCCAGCCGTCCGCGGGCACCGTCTGCCCTCACACAGCGCCTCGAGGACGTGGCACAGTGACAGCACCGTCCGGAAGAGGCAGGCTCAGAGTGGCCACGGTGTAGCCCACAGTGGCGCAGGGAGGTGCCCGGCGCAGAGGGCAGTGCCTGCCGTGGGCGCTCCTGGGGGCCGGCCGAGCAGGGCCTGCCAAGAGGATGAAGTGCCTGTGGGTCTCTGTCCTCGTCTCTGCCTCCCCGTGCTCCTCTGTCTGGCTCTGTCTGTCTGTCTGTCTGTCATCTCTCTGCTCCTGGAGCAGCTCTCTGCTCCTCTCTCTTTCTCTCCAGAGCTCAGAGGCCCGGCCAAACAACCCCCTCCATGGCCGCCTTAGAGTTGGGGCCCTGGACCCCTGGCGGGAGGGGGGGGGCCTGAGGGCCCTGGAAGCTGGGACCAGCAGGGGCCGTGGCCCCCCAGCTCCCGCCTCCAGTGTGCCTCCCCTCCTGTGGCCTCCTGGACAGTTAGGAACCTGGGTCTCCCAGAGAGGTCCCTCCCTGCCCGCTGCCCAACCCCCGGGGATCACCCTCGGAGTCTCCGGTCTCCACTGTGCCAGGAGCCCTCGGGCCGCTGGGCAGGCCGGGGGGGGGGCGGGGAGCAGAACTCTGTTCCTCAGAAGGGGCTGCGAGGCTGGTGGGCCCGGGTTCCTCTGAGGACAGGAGGGGAGAGGAGAGGGAGGAGGTGAAGCCCAGCGAGGAGGGGTGCCTGGGTGGGGAGGGCGGCCGGGGACGGCCCTGACGAGGCCGCCCGCTGCGCTGTCCGCAGGGCCTCACTCTGGAGCTCCTGCGTGGTGCTGCCCCTGCTGGCGCTGACCTGGATGTCGGCCGTGCTCGCTGTCACCGACCGCCGCTCAGCCCTCTTCCAGATCTTGTTCGCCGTCTTTGACTCGCTGGAGGGCTTCGTCATAGTGATGGTGCACTGCATCCTGCGCAGAGAGGTGGGCCGCGCGGGCGTCCCCCGCGCCCCACCCCAGGCCCTCGGTGGGGCAGGTTCTGGGCCGCAGTGGGCGGTGGGGGGGCGCGGCTTCAGGGCCCCTCACTTCTGCAAGGCGGGGCGGCCTGGGAGCCGTGGCTGCTTAGTATAAGCGCTTCTTCCTGGCTCGGACCGGGAGGGGGGCTCTGTCCCTCCGGGGTCCTTGGGACCGAGAGCCACTGGAACCGAAACAGCTTTCAGCACAGCTGAGACTCCTGTCCTGGCGCCCTCTGGGCCTCTCCCAAAGGGAACAAGAGAGGGCCACCTGTCCTGGCTGCCGGCTGCCCGGTATAGCAACAGTTAAGGGGACCTGCTCCCATCTCAGGGGGGTCAGAATGTGGAAGAGTGTGCTCCTGACACGGATGAAAGAGGTGCCACCGTGAGGCTGGACGAGGCCAGGATGGCCGCGGAGGCGGAAGGGGCAGGAGTGGGTGGGCAGACACGTGGAATTACCTCCCCTCGGAACCTCCTAGAAAGATGACAAAGTGATTTTTAAAAGCACTTAGATTCGAAGGGATGAGAGAACAGGAGAAGGGTTTTGCAGCAAACCCTGGGCTTTCAGGGAGAGAAGGACAGGGGGCATGAGCTCAGCCCACCCGAGGGAGCCCGGTCCGCAGCAGGTGTTGGGGGGAGGCCGGGCAGCAGCTACTTCACACTCTGAAGCCAGAGCGCTTCTAGAAGGGGGGCTCCCGGGCCCCCCCGATGCCCAGGGAACGTCTGCAGTGGACGGCAGGTGGTCTGCTTCAGGAGGGGCTTGGACCCCCTCCTGGGCTGGCAGGGCCGCCCCCACCTGCAGCCCCACTGTCCCGGGTGGGGCCCTGGTCTGGGGGCGCCCGGCGCAGCTGACAGCATGCTGAGACAGGGATGCGCGAGCCGCATCCTGGCTCTTGGGCACCCGTCGCCTGAGGCCCCCAGGCGGGAGGAGAGGCGAGCAGAAAGATGGGAGGACACAGAGCCCGCGAACCTGGGGTTGGACGGCCCCATCGACAGGCTCCCGCCCACAGCCCCTCCTTCCACCGTATGTAAATGTCCAGTCGGTCGTGAGCATCCGGTCTGAAATCCTGAGGACCCGGAGAGCCTGTGCCCGAAAAGCCACAGACCCGCGCAGCCGCGGCCCCCAGGCACAGCCCCGAGCTGGTGTCTCCAGAGAGGGGGACCACCCCTGCTCCCCAGCCTTGCACCCGTGGGTGCCTGGCCCCGGCCGCCTTTACTTGTGCTAGCGGTTCTCACCGCGGGCCAGCTGCTGCCCGTCTTCCACACGCGGGCCAGCTCCGGGCCAGCACAGGCCTGTCGCTTCCGGGGGCGGGTAGCCAGATGTCACACTCCGGCCAGGCTCTAAGGCCCTGCTCTTGGCCCTCGGCTGCCTGGCTTCCGGGTAATGAGAAGAGCAGGCTATTAAGAAGGAACATCTGAGAATAGAAGGGAGCTTGTAGGAATTCAAAACCCGGGAGCAGACGCCGGAATATCCGGAGGGTGGGCCCACGCCTGGGGAGGGTCAGGCGCCCCTGAAGACGCACGACTTCCCCATCAGCCCTCTGTGACCTCCCGGGTCCCACACGTGGGGTTTGTGCTACAGGGATCCTTCAGCCAGGGGAAATTCGGGAGAGGGTCTCCATTGGGAGGGGTTGAGGAGGCCAACGCTGAAGAAGACAGGCCAGGAGCGGGTGGGCAGGGGTGATGCCAGGCAGCTCCAGCCAGCGCGGTGGGCGTAGAACATTTGGCAGGTGGACAAGTAAGGTGGTCATCTGGGTCTCCTGGGGGGAACAGAGGGGGTGAGGCTGGCCAGGTGGCCTTCCTGGAGGAGGAGGCCATGAGGCGCTTGGGGAGACCATCTGCTCTTCATGCCAGTGGAGAAATGCTTTCGCATCTGCCACCTCCTGGACTGCGGCCTGCCTCCACTGGGCACACCGCAGGTGCTTCAAGATGTTTGCTAGGCAGGTCAGTGAGTGCAAGGACGGGAGGAAGGCGCACCCGCACAGGAGGCCCAGCGGCCCTGAGGCCAGCAAGGCCCCGGCACTGCCTCTGATCAGCTGTGTGGCTGCAGGGGGCAGGGAACAGGTCCCCAGGTCTGCGCTGGGTCTGAATCTGAGCCAGGAACCCCCGGCGCACCCTCCTCCCAGAGCTCCCCCGTTCACTCAGGACGCCTCCCCCAGGAACCCCTCCATGCTTTCGCCGCCCTGTGCCTTCCCTTATTCCCTTTGCACATCGTGACCGTGAAGCTCCTTGAGGGTGGGCAGTGCTCACTGCTGCGCCCAGCGCCCAGAGCAGTCGGTGGTGGAGAAGGTGCTATAGCCTTCACCCTTCGCTCACACTGACTGGCTCTGTCCATCCTGTGGGCAAGCTCTGTGCCAGCTGCTTGGGTGGCCCCTGGCACGGAGCCACCATCACCTCCTTTCAGAAGAGTCCGTGGCCATAATGCCTGAGACCCCCCTCGACGGAGCGCGCCCCACAGACGTGCTGTCCCCCCAAGGGCCCTTGTGGACACTTGGGTGGCGCTTCTCCGGGGAGTGAGGGCGGGGCCCCCCGCTTGCCCAGCTGCTGTGGACCCCGGTGCCCTCCTCAGGCTGACGGCCGGTCCACCCAGACGGACTCCAGCGAGGAGGGCTGCGGCACGTTCGCGGGGGGTCCGGAGCTCCCTGACTTTGGAATTTCACACCCATGAAGGGCACAGAGAGAATCTCCGAGAGGGAAGGGGGCCCCCGCACACAGGCCACCCTCGCAGAGGCCCCGCCCCATGCTGCTCGCCCTTACCTTCCCGTCATCCCACAAGGATGCCGTCCGGGGCGGCTGGGGACCGATCTGTTCTCTCTCCCCAGGTCCAGGACGCCGTGAAGTGTCGCGTGGTGGACCGCCAGGAGGAGGGCAACGGGGACTCGGGGGGCTCCTTCCAGAACGGCCATGCCCAGCTCATGGTAGGGCTCAGAGCTTGGTGCCCCCAGCGGCGCCTCCTCACGCTGCTCAGAGCTGCTCTGGGCTCCAGCAGTCCTTGGGAAGAGCTCCGAGCCCAGTCTGAGGCTGGGCACACTGAGGCTCACCAAGGTGACGTCCCCGTCCCAGGGTCTGAGGGCAGGCAGGACCACATGGTGAGAGTCTGGCTGGGCCTGGCATCAGCGCACCCCCACCCCCACTACCACAGTGCCCTTGCCCAGATGCCAGCCTCCGGGGGCTGTTGCCTCAGCTGCTGCCCCCCCACGCCCTGTGCCCCGCGCGCCCCCCTCAGTGCCCTCAAGCCTGGCCAGGATGGGACTGGGCTCCCTCGGTCTCCATCCGGGAGACCAGCCCTGGCCTGTCCACGCACCCTCCCCCCTGCCGTGGCCTTGTCCCAGCCATGTCCCCTTGGGCCCCCCAGCATCACACCTGGCATGCAGCCTGAGGCACGGCACGGCCCTCCCACCCTGCCGCCCACCTCGCAGGTGTCCACTAAGACGCCACCTCCAGGGAGCCCTCCCTGACCGCCCGCCCCCACTCCTGCCATCAGGCCTCCTGGCTGAATTCTCCCACATTGTCGCTGGTGCCCCCTGGCGTGCCATGAGCCTGGTGGGCAGGGGGTACTCATTCAGTCCTCGGGGTGCCCAGCCTCCTCATGGTGGTTGTGAGCATCACAGGCAGGGCCTCGGCAGATGCCGGCAGATGCCGGCCATCGGACCTGGGGAGGCTACTTGGGTCCTCAGGGGTGAGGACAGGGGTCCCAGACCCCTCAGGCACTGCTCCTGGCCTGACCTGTGACCTCAAGCCAACCTCCGCGTTTGCGGAGGGGGAGCCTCTGGTTTTCCACAGCCCCAGGAGAAGGCCACACCCCGGCCGGTGGCCCCCGCCCACCGGGCTCTCTGAGGGCGGGGCCTGGGTCGCTCGCTGTCGCCTGCCCCTGTCCCAGGCTGGGATGGGGCAGGTGCTCTAGCAGGGGCCTCCGCCACTGCTCAAGGGACGGCTGGTCTCAGCCCGGCACCGACATCTGTGTCTGCAGCCTGTTCTGCTTCTCTGGCCGGCTGGCCTCCATTTCCTCGTCCCCAGGGCTGTGGTGAGGACTACAGGTGACATCCTGCACACTGACAGGTGGCGGCGGCCTGGGCGGCAGGGGCTCTGGCGTGAGACCCTCTGTGCCCCCCCCACCCCGTCGGACGTGAGGGACAGAGCGAGGGGGTCTCGTGCTGCAGTCCCAGGGGGCCAGCGGTTGGGGGAGACTGAGCCAGGGGCGCCAGAGTGTCCGAGCTGCAGTGGGACCAGCCTCCCACTTCCCAGCTAAGCCACACGCGCCAGGAAGGAGCCCCCGTGCACTCACGTACACACGCGCACACATGCGTGCACACACAGGCAAGAGCATGCAGGGGCAGGGCCCCCCACCAGGGCCCACGTGAGCACACGGGCAGCCTTGAGCTCGTGGCCCCCGTTAGCAGTCGGTAGCCGGCACGCACGTGTGCACGCACGCCCCTTCGAGGTACAGCTCCAGCTCGGCTGTTTCCCGCCAGCCCGCAGGCAGCCCTGCCTGCTCGCTCGCAGGCCCTCACCCGGCCTCGCCTCTGTCTTGCAGACTGACTTCGAGAAGGACGTGGATCTGGCCTGTAGATCAGGTGAGCGCCTGCCAGGTGAGAGCGACAGGTGGCCCTCGCCTGGGCCCACTTGCTTCCTTTTCTTTTCTCTGTGCGTCTGTCTGTCCATCTGTCTGTTCTCATCCCACCGCCCGCACGGCGAGGTTGGATCAGATCCTCCCCCGGGAGGCCTGGTCAGCACAGGGCCCGGCCCGCACCAGCCACCTCCTGCCTCCCCTCCCACTGCACTGAGGCTGCAGGCAGGGCCTGAGGAAAACTGTCCTGGAGCTCAGGCTCAGCAGGGGTGAGGCCCCTGCGCTGTGCGGGCGGAGCCCCGGAGCAGACCCTGGGGCCCCCTGCGCTGGGGCTGGCCCTGTCCTCTCCCCACCGCGCCCCCTGCCTCAGCAGCCACACACACTTCTGTTCTTTGCTTCCCACGCTCTTCATTGGGGCACTGAGGCTGCCCACCTCCACCCTGCCACCCACCTCGCCACCCACCCCTGCCTGCCCTCCCTCAGGGCCCAAGCTCTGTGCTGTCTTCATGTCTTCATCCCCAGTCCATCCACGGGGGGCAGGGGGGGGTCGGTCACGCTTTCAGAATGGGGGTGGGGGATAGCAGTGGGAGCAGGGGTAGAGCAGGGAGAAAGCCCTACCACTGAGCCCTAGGCTAGTGCTGAGTTTCTTGGAAGCACGTGGAAAAAGGGACTCAATTGCCCAATGAAAGGGAGCCCCCTTCAAGGGTCATTGTTCTGGGAGCCGGGCGTCTGAGGCAGTGACAGTATCTTCCGGAGCTGTGGAGAACCAGCTGGCCACACTGCCTTGCATCTGTCAGATATTTGGGGAGCATCTTCTCTAGAGACAGCCGTGGGGGCAGGGCCTGGGACAGCCGCAGGTTGGGAGTGTCAGCTGCTGCCAGGTGGACCCCAGAGGGCTTCCTGGAGGAGGTGGCCTCTGGTTGGGTTGAATGGGGGACTGGACAGAATGGTCTTCCACCTCCCGCCTTGGTCTTAGGCAGCCTTCCTGAGAGGTGGCCCCAAGACTCGGGGGCCTTGGAGGCTGGGGCCCAGCCCTGCTCGGGTGCTCCAGGCCTCTCTGAGACTCCAATTTCTTCCTTGTCAGTAAGCTGGCCCAGCCGGGCCTGTGGCCTCTCAAGCACCTAGTGGCTGGGGGCCGAGCTGGGGGTGAGGGGGGCACACCAGCTGGGGGCCTGGGGGTCTAGAGGATGTGGGCCTATGTGGGAGACCTGCAGCTGGGTTTGTGCAGGGGAGGCGCACCCTGGGTCCATGGGGCTTAGCGCTCACTCAGGCGGACCGAGAGACCTCAGTAGGGGGAACCCTGGAAGGGTGCAGGTTTCGCGGGTAAGATGGCAGGTCCCCTGCTGGGCTGCCCGGTGGAGGTCGGTGCCTGGAGGCTGGAGATGAGAGGGGACCCGGCCCTGTCTGAGAGGAGGGAGAGGACCCGGGAGGGGATGGCGGAATGACCGTCTGCTGGGAGGGTGTGTGCTCGTGGGGCGGCTGCAGGAAGCAGCTAACACGCGCTGCTGGTGTCCGGGGGCTGGGCAAGGGTGTGGCTGGGTGCCCGTGCGCCCGGCCAGCAAGGAGAGGGCCCTGCAGTCACAGCAGGCTTCCAGGGACGGGCCCTAAGTGGGGCGCGGGTGGGCGGCTGGGCCTGGCAGCTGTGTGCTCTCCACGGGCCGGTGAGGCTGGACTGACCGGTAGGAGCCCGGGTCAGGGGTCATGCGGCCCTGTCCCCCTGCAGCCGAACGGAAGGGGGGCAGCTAGGTGTACGGGACACGGCACCCCAGGACCGGGCCGCCCTGCCCCCCCCCCCATGAGGAGCTGTGTCCCTGCACTTCCCAGAAGCGTGGGCTGGCTCCAGGGCCAACAGGGGCCCCCAGCTGCCAGGGAGCGCACTGTGTGGGTGGTAGTCCTTTGTCCTCCTGTCCGCGGGGCAGACAGGAGCACCCCATGTTCCAGCCTTCTTAGAAGAGGCAAAGGAAACCCGGCCGCCCCAGCAGCACACACCACACGGTGGCCCCACTGACCAAGGCAGAGGGTGGCCTGCAAGGGGCCCGGGTGCTGGGAACCGCAGCTTCAGGGCTGTCAGAGGGCGTGTGGCCGATCGGGCCCTGGCCGGGGCACCCCCGAGGCCGGCCTGACCGCCCCGCCTGTCCCCACAGTGCTGAACAAGGACATTGCGGCCTGCCGCACGGCCACAATCACGGGCACGCTCAAGCGGCCGTCGCTGCCCGAGGAGGAGAAGCTAAAGCTAGCCCACGCCAAGGCGCCCCCCGCCAACTTCAACAGCCTGCCAGCCAACGTGTCCAAGCTGCACCTGCACGGCTCGCCCCGCTGCCCGGGCGGCCCCCTGCCCGACTTCCCCAACCACTCACTGACCCTCAAGAAGGACAGGGCACCCAAGTCCTCCTTTGCCGGTGATGGGGACATCTTCAAGAAGCTGGACTCGGAGTTGAGCCGGGCTCAGGAGAAGGCCCTGGACACCAGCTACGTAATCCTGCCCACGGCCACAGCCACGCTGCGGCCCAAGCCCCAGGAGGAGCCCAAGCACAGCATCCACATCGATCAGATGCCCCAGACCCGCCTCATCCACCTCAACATGGCACCTGACGCCGGCCTCCCTGCCCGCAGCCCACCCACCCGCCAGCCCCCAGGCGGTGGGCCCCCGGAGGCCCCCCCTGCCCCGCCCCCACCACCCCCACCGCCCCCCCCCCCGCCACCCACCCTGGAGCCAGCGCCCCCCAGCCTGGGGGAGCCTGGGGAGCCCGCTACCCACCCGGGGCCCAGCTCGGGGGCCGGGACCAGGAACGAGAACGTCTCCACCTTGTCTGTGAGCTCCTTGGAGGTGAGGGCAGCCCAGGGGCCCCAGGGGTAGGGCGTGCCGTGGGCACTGCTGGTTTGGGCTGCAGCCAGCGTTAGGAAGTCCAGGCCCGGGAATGCTGGGGAGCTGGCTACTGACAGGGCATGCCCTAGGACACCACCCCCACCCCGCCATTCTCATTCTGTTCTCTAGCCACACTGCCCCTGGCGCCGCTGGGCCCTCGTGACAGGGAGCTTCTGGCCTGCGCCAAAATGGGGGTCTCTCCCATTGCAGAGAGGCCCACCAAGCTGGACTTGAGCCAGCTTGAGTCTAGCCCTTTCTGTGGTTGTGGTCAGGGCAGCAAGTCCCTCCTTAGACCAACCTGAAGCCTACACTTGACCCCAAGCCCACCCAGCCTATGCAACATGGGGCTCAGAGACTAGATTAGGGAAGCACTGCCGAGCACCCTCAAGGAACCCCACCCTCCCACCTCCTGGCTCACTGCCTCTGTGGCCCCCCAGCTGTGCCGCTGCCCTGCGTCCAATGCTCCTTGTCCCTGGGGGCGTGTTCTGGGCAGGCTAAGCCCTCTGCCCTTGCCCAGCACTGGCACTGGCCTGGAGGTGGGAGATGGCCCCGGGGACAGTCTGGCTCCTCTCAGCTGGGACAGAAAGTGACGAAGAGCTTCTGCAGGTTCACCCCCACTTGGGACCTGGGATACCAGAGCCCCAGGGTGTCATGGGGCAGAGAGCCCCCTTGGGACTGTCACTGCCCTCTGGGGCCGCGCTTCCTGTCCACCCTCTTCCTGCAGAGTCCTCCGGCTGGGCCCCCACTGTCTTTTAAGGCAGCGGGTGGCCTGAAAGCGGCCCTCAGAGGCATGTCCCCCAGGGCTTGGCTGAGACCCCGAGAGGAGGCCTGGGGTGAGGGGGTCCCTGGTCTCCCCCATACTCAGGCAAGGAGGGGCGAGGACCTGTGGTCCAGGAGGCTTTAGGGAACTGCTTGCAAATGGGCACAAACCTCTTCTCCCCACAGCGGCGGAAATCGCGGTATGCAGAACTGGACTTCGAGGTGGGTCCTGGCGTCCCGTGCCCCACACGGCCAGGCTGGATGGAGGTGCTCTGAGCCCTTCCAGCAGTTAGGGAGGGGCAGGGCAGCCCCCCTCTGGGCTCAGGCTCCGCCCCCCTCTGGGCTCA